TCTACTTCCGGCAATAATCTTGCAGAAAAGTTTAGCCTAATTCATGAGTTTTGATATTCTCGTAGAATAGAGAAGAGCATATTGTTATATATCTGACAGTTGAAATATTTTTTTTCCTTTTAGCCGGATTAAGAAGTACAAAACAACGTTGTTATAAATCACAGAAGCAAGACTTTTTTACTTTTTTCGATGATTTATTTATCAAATAAGAAAGTTCCTTATTTAAGCTTTGTAATGAACAGAAGATGGATGCCACCTTATTGTATAGGAATGGTCAAGCGGTTCGAAGGATTCCATAAAAATAAAGCTGAACAAACTACAAAAAAGAACGGTGCTACATTCAAGTTAAATTGGACAGACCAACAAAACTACAAAATTATATTATTAAAGACAAATAAACTGTAATTAATTGAAGTATTGATATTAGTTGTGCTGATAACAATGCGTTGCCTATCGATTTTACTATAAATATGATTTCTCTATAATTAATGATGCGTTTGTTGTGTAACTATGAAAATGGTGAACTGACTTTTCTAAAAGCGCCCTCCATTTTTTCGGGTTTTCCTGTGCTATACCTAACTACAAAATTTGAAAGAAGTGGACTCGAAAACCTCATGAATTTATAGAAGAATCCATTACAGAGACTCTTTAACCTTTTTCAGGAACTTTTTAAAGTACTTTTTGCAGAATCATTCGCAAATTACCAACAAGAATATCTCAATGTCTCTTCTGACTCTCTTAATGAATATTTGCAAGTTTTTCGCGTAACTTTTTGTGTCTATGTAAAAATGTTAAAAGCTCCAGTTAATCTATGTATGTATATTGAAATATTTTATTAATCAACTCAGAATTTCGAAGAATCTACTAAAGAAACTTCTGGAGTAAGAATCTCTGGTGAATTTTCTTCTTGAATAATTTTTTAAGCGAATGTCAAAAATCTGTAAAAGAGTTTGGAAGATCTCTTAGAGTATAAAAGATCATATTGAAAAGAATCTACTACAATATATATTGAAGAGACTATTTGGGATCATCTGAAGAACCTTCTTGGCTACTCTGAAATCCTTTGAAAACTTGATCCACGAAGTTTGCATTACATCTCAAAGAACATAAAAGGAAGTAAATATATTCAAAGAGATCTGTTAATAAATCCCTTAAGTCGCTTGAATAATCCGAAACTTAGAGAATCTTATAAGGCTTTCTTGAAGAAGCAATGGAAGAATCCTATTGATCTTTTAAAGAATGGACTAAAGTGTATTTTGAAGAACATACTGCATAAAATTTACAAAGATCATATATCTTTTGCATACCGTAAAGTCCACAATCCAATGCATCTTTCTCATTCTAAAACAAATGTACAACAACTACCATCTTCCACAATTAGAACTGTATTAACGACTCGATTAACATTTTTAATAGGGAATTGCATGTAACAATTTATTTT